ATTGAATGGCAGGCGGCTTGATAGTTATCATTAGCCCTTTAGCTGACTTCGGGCTTCACAGAGGAGGAGGAACATCAAAACGAAAAAATTCGAGGGGGGTGAGGAACAGAAGAGTAATTCGCAGACGTAAAAGAGTCAGACAGACACAAAGGCAGAGAAAAGGCAAGATGGGAACTGTGGAAGGGGGCGAATATGACAGTGTGGTCATGGTAGTTTGAAGGGAGAAGTCAACAGCCAGTTAATGAACTTTTTTTGTTGTATGAGTATACGTTGCCCAGGGTGCACCACGTGGAGGTAAGTCTCTCGCACACTCCATACCAAAAATCAGTTTTAAAATGAAATGAAAACGTTATGCAGCAATCCTTCTCATCTTTAGGTGAACGGTGGTATCAATAAGCTATTATGTTACGAAAGTCCAAGCCTGAAGTTAATTTTGCCATCAAAACTTACTCTACCTTAACTTATGTAATAAATGTATTGTTTTGTAGTATAATTCCATGGTAATCTACGAAATTTAGTAAACTAATATGTTCTTGTATGTTTTTGGAAAAAAAAAAGAAATCGATTTATTCAAGTACATTTTTTTCTTAGAGAATTACGAATTCAAATAGTGTTGAAATATAAATGAACAGTACAACTTTTTAAAAAGACCGAGAAAAGAAGTTTTATTTCTTCCAAACTAAAGTAAAATTCATTTGCCTCAAATTATGTTGAAGAGTCAAATATTAAGTGAAAAACGAAGAGAGATTTAAATGAAACATTTTCCATCAAATGGACAATTTGTAACATGTAACTTTTGACCAGAAGATTGTTTATATGTTTGTCAACGACAAAAATATTACAATGCACGGAAAAGCACATATTTTTCATATTTTATTTACACTATCCTGTTTTATTAGTAAACTGATTAGCCCCCAATCTTACTTGATATTAGCTGCGCTTATATTGGCTGTTTATATCAGCCAATAAGATATGGAGATTAGAATGATTAACCAATCACTTAGAAACGACGAAATTGCACGTCTTGACCTTAGTCATCGTAGTCAGTAATTGGTCAGCTGAACTGGAAATATTACAGTGAGGGCCAAATAGTAGATTTCCGAAGCAGAACTTGGAAGAGATGTTTGGAAATACACTGCGGATTTAACCAAAGGACTAATTTATCTTGCATGGCATGACTGCAAATATGCTTCTCGACACATTAGTGACTGAATCTGAGGAATATCCCAGTGTAGTTCGACGAACATCCCTTCATGGGAAAGCCTTGGAAGTTTTGTTTAGCCGAAAAGAGTCATACTATCGAAAGCACCAGGCTATCACGTACAACTTCCTTGAAAGACCCAAAACACGACGGGCTCTAATTTACCATTCGTTTGTGTAAGTTATAACTCTTTCGTTAGTGGTTTATGTTGGGTCACAATTTTACTAATTTATTCAGGTAACATGATTAATAGCACCACGTAAGCATAGAAAGGAAGCGCACATTTAACTTGCCATAATGTCATAAAAAATCTAAATCCTTGCAACGCTAGCATTATCATTAAATTACTACATTCACTAACTTGCACCGGAAATGTGGATGGTAAAAAAATATAATTGTTTAGAAATTTTCTAAGAGGAAATTAATCAAATTTTATATTCTCTGAATGAATCTTAGGCAAAGTCAATTGGTATATATGGGCATTGGTTACGATATTGCCAATAAAGGGTGGCTTATATTGCTTTGGCGGGTAGTATAATTAGAGGAATTATATTCCAATAAACTGAATGATCTATATGAACGTATCCTGGGTCTTGAGTATCAAGGTGCTTTTTACTTATATACATTCAAGAACGGAACATCAACTCGGACTGGCTAAATTTAAATAAACGAGGGAAGGGGGACTGTTAATTTGCATCTGAAGGACTCATAGTCTCACTTACCTCCTCAAGAAACGCGTTGAAAATGTTACCCTCCTAAGTCATTTTAACCTGTGGGACTGAATAAAAAGAGAGTTGGACACAGGCGATGGTGCCTAAGTTAATAATCCAACGTATTCTATTTTGATCTGATCGAGATCCAACTTGATTTAATTGACCTTCACCTGAATGACTTGATTGAGGTCTGAGGTCAATGAGAGTATTGGCAATGTTCACGTAGACACTTAACTTTTTGTGTCAAATAAACTATTAAGAAACACTATTGCATACATTATTATTTAATCGGTTTTCCATTTTAACATTATTTAAAAAGCAGTTCAACTTCCTTTTCATAGTGAACCCTAGCAAAAGTTCAACCCCTAATTTTACGAACGAGAAATCTAAATTGACTATTGAAAATAGTACGAATGACTTTTCCCCCCATGATAGCGGAGGTGTTTTTAAACCAAATTTTCTTTAGCGCTGATAGCTACATTATTTGTTCAAGCTTATATTTACAATTTTCCATATTTACATAATAATAAACACAATAGTAATGTCCTTTTAACTTCTTTATTCTTAATTTTCCAAAGCCACAAAACAGATACTTTTCATGGCATTTTCTGTGCTTTGTATTTGTTTGGTACATTGGCAGCAATGATTGACTCAAGTGACAGATAATTAACATTGCTAACACCATCTATTCACCAAGCGATTATGCTTCTTGTGGAGTGGTAATCAGCACGGTGTCTGGAATGAAGTTTAGAAAAAAACTTCCGGTCATTTAGCAGTGATCTAAAATTTTCGTGGTTTAAAAACTTTCCCGTAGGCATCATTAAAATACCCGGGGTATATTCAGTGGATACTATATACAGAAGTGGAATAAAGTACAAATTGTTGAAAGTTTGCACTTTATTTCGATTTATTCAAAAAATTTACTCCAGGATGCGAAAATAAATTACTATGTGTGGGATTAAAATAATGTTTTAAAATATGGGATACCTTCAATAAAATGGCTGACGGAATATTGATAGAAATTCACAATTTAAAACACGAAAGCTATTTTATTCCGTATTTGATTTGCATATTGACTAATGCTAGATAAGATCACCATTCCAATCTGTGTGGTCGTATTCAATTAGGTAATACACTGGACAAACTGTTATTTTATCGCATATTCTTGATCACTAACAAAATTTTGAAATCTCTGTCATTAATACTTATCACAGAAATAACGCATGAACTAACATAATTCTGATAATATTGATCGAAATATATTATATTGCCCTAAGTGTAAACTATTCCAATATGCTTTATTTTGAACACTATTCGTCTTATGTGGAAAATTAGTAGTAGGGACAATTTGATTTAAAGTACTATTTGGACAAATGTATAAATTCCCTTGATTTCTGAAGTTGCAGCACAAAAGATGGACTAAATATATGATATAATTATTAAAAGAAGGAATAATATCCTTAGCTTAGACTTGAAATTAAGGCTGTTGGTGCATCTCATATGAGGCATTTTAATAGTTGGTTGTCCTCGCATATGCAGAGATTCGGGGTGGGAAAAATGATGTGATTCCATGTTTCATTAAGGCGTATATTATTGACTTTAATATTTATAACTTTTAGATTTACGTCTGTACTTGCTTGTCTCATCACCAGCGTTCTTTCAACAATTGAGGAATTTACAGTTCCAGCGTCTAAAGCTCTTGTGTATATGGTAAGCATACACTTTGTATTACCTTTTTGACATTTGGGCATCTTCACTTTCATACTTTATTCAAATTTCATTAATAATTAAGACACAATTTGCTGTATTTCCTATATATTATTCATATTTTATATTTGGCACTTGCATGCCTATCATTTATTTTACTTATAAATGAACCGTCTTTTATATGTCTTTCTAACCAACGTTGCATTGAATTCTCATTACTTTCCCTGTTGTCATTTAAATTCAATAAACCCCATACCTCTAAGACAATTGGTTTAATTAACTTACTTTGAATCGTTCTTTTATGTCTTATTGGCTTCATTCTGTTCCTGCTTGCAAGGACATAGCAACAGTCAACATAGACAGAAGTCCGCATTTACAATTTTGTGAGTCACACTTAAGACACTGTTTCGTCAATCATAGCTCAGAGACACATTTCGCTTTAATGCCTGATTAAAAGGGGCTGTGAGAGTAGGACACAAGTATAATCGAATCAAGTGGTTCTGTTCATCATTATAGAAGTGTTCAATGGACATTATCATGTTTTTAAATAATTTTGTGAAAATGTCATTAATCAGGTCAACTATTACATATCAAAATGTAATAAATTGCTTAATTGCACTTTGAATATCTAATGAGCACATATGAGTATAAATATATGCTAATTAAAATTCGTTGACCTTATTATTTTTAAAAATTTAATAATTTTCTTCAAAATTATTAGAATTTTTTAAAAAAATGTGCGGTTGAAAAAGGCAGTCACAAAATAATTTATTACATTTGTTTTATTAGCATATTAAATAGACATTCAAATGCAGGTAATTAAATGAGAATTGTTATTTACCCTTTTCCATAGACAGCGGAAAATTTAAAGAAGAAAAGTTTTCATCAAATATGTTTTAGATTCTCCAGTTAAATTGGCAGTTTGGATTTTTCGTCAACAAAATTCAGCAATCGTATTATCGTGAATTATTGCCTTGGTATTTAAATTCCCCAAATTCCTGAAACTATGCAAATGGCTAGATGCTTAATTTAGATGAATCTGGATAATCAGGACAATAAGAGCTAAATTAAATAAACATTTCTTTCGCAAATTATTTTCGTCATTTAACAACTACATATATACTACAAAATTTTATATTTTCACAACTTTAACCTATAGCTGTTTTGGAATAAGGAGAAAAGAAGTTATGAGGCTCTATTAAAAATTGGCAGATAAGGTGAAACGTTCGGTGACAATACATTTATCCTAAAGGGGTCGATTGAAAACGATAAGTGAGTTGACAGATTTCGCCTTCTTTGTTAGTTGAGGACCAAGTGATTAATAATTAACTGACAATAAGGGTACGTTGGAGAATTTTTCAGGTTTTGCCTACCCCAATTTGATTTATAATTCAAAATTGAACTTTTCATGAACTTTCCTTCCTTGTAAAGCTTATTACTCGTACTCAATTGGCTATGCAAATTACAGCGAGACACCTTTTTAGTGACTATTTTGAATGGTAAAAAACAGTGTCTATCGTTAATATGTATATTATGGTCAAATCATTAACATGACTGATCATATATAAACTTCTGTGAAATATTTTCCAATGAATGGTTGGTCATCATTATAGAAAAGTCTGACGTTCAATTGAAATACATTTGCGACAGAATTACTTCCAAATACTGACCAAAATTAGATTGATGGCCGCTTTGATTATTTAAACTTTAATTTAGCTGGCCAACTACTCTCGGTCTCAATACTTTAACGACAGATTTCACAATCGAATGCATATTCTTCTAGAGATTTATTCTATATTTATTCGTCAGTTTGAAAAATAATCTAAGGCTTTCCTCACAAAGCCCACCAACTAGGAAAATAAGAAGACAAGGCCTTGCAAATAGGTGCTAAATATGGGCGTTAATGCAAAATTTATGCCACCACTGTTAATAATGCCTGTAATTACTTTCTCTGTTATTACCATTACGCGCATTTGATGGCGCCTGATAAATTTAAACAATCTTTAGGAGTAATAATTTGGAAAAAATATTTTAAAGCGTTAAAAAATTCCATGAAAATGCTAATCAAATGCTCAAATTCACATACTTAGATAGATGAAAGCGTTTTTGTATATTCATGGTCAGAATCCGATTGGGACTAAGTTGTATTTCAGAAAGTGAAAAGATACTCTTTGAATTTGGCTACATTTTCAAGATTATTCTTCTTTATTTACAAATCAAACAGATCTAATAGATTCATGGTGTAAAATTTGAAAACTTCGATTAGATTGCAAAGTAAGACACTGACGGCTGCTTCAGTTAACCCATTTAATCAACATACGGTTATTAAAAAGATGTCCATGTTCATCTCGTCAAAGAAAATAAACAGCGCCAATAGAAAAGGAGCTTAATAGTTTATTTGATATTCATAGTCTATCTTAGTAATTCACCTGCGGTTAAATAAATGTTCATGGACTTTCATGGTTTTACCATTTGCTTTAGTCAAGAGTGTCATTATCCTTAAACCCAATTTTCTGGTTCTCAAATTTACTCATATACCGATTTACCGGGGATTTAGTTATTATTTAAAAGTCAGTTCTTTGAAAAATATACCTTTCTAGTGCTCAATGTAAGTTAAATAAAGCTAGAAAGGCTGAAATCGGGTATTGCGAGCATATAGACAACCTTATTTTGGAACTTAATTGGCTAAATCTACGTCAAAAATATGTATAAAGAGACATTTGAGAAATTATTTACTCCCGTGAAAACGATAGGGCATTTGACGTATAAAAGATTTAAACTCGACTTGAAGGTGAATTTCACTAACAATGAGTAGGAACGTCATCATTCACTTAGAAAGAACCATATCACCTTCGTAAATTAAAAAGGGAATGAAACATGAAACAGCTGCCGCAAAGCAATAAGTGATGAAATTTAGAAATTCGGGAGGCTCAAGGATATATTGAAAGCTGATTGTATAATGATCAATTCTTTTCCTGAAATCGAAGAGCTTTATTCCATTTTTACTGTAACAAAATAGCGTAGAAGCCCAGATAAACTACGAAAGTTGAAGAGGTGAAATTTTCTTTTCATTTAGCGTTAAAAACTTGATCTGAAAAGGCCGAGTTAAATAAATAAATTCTCGTTTTCCCACAAAGACCAATGGTCTGATTCAATGGTCATATAATTGGCAAAAGAGATTAAAAAAGAACCTCAATCCCTGAAAAGAGGTACCAATTCTGATTCGAGTTACAAATAAACTCCCACTTTACGACCATTGAGCACGAACTTGAACTTGCCTCACTGTTTTTGTTTTTCATAGTGCTCCACACCGATGTTCGTGATACGTAATTTGAAGTCAATATCTTTCTGTAAAAAAATTTATAATTAAAATACCTTTTTACCTTAAATAAGCTACATTTCCAATCTCTGCATTGAGTCTCATTGAAGGAATTCGTCTTTATGCATTTGTTTGCGACTGTTACTCTTGTAAGAACACTCCACAGAGAGTATTTCAACATGTAAAATGTAATGACACATTTGCTTTATTATCAGTATTCATTTTCAATATTCAGCTTCTCAAATAACTGTTTTTTTCTTAATAAAGTTATATAAACACAATCTGGTGATGTGTTAAACCTTTCTTTACGCGTATATAGTTAAAATGACTTAAAAATGCTAATAAGAGCAGAGAAATCCTGTTGCCTGATGAAATAATAATATTGGTAGTTAATATATCATAATTTCTATTCTTCGTTCGCCTCTAGATTTATTTCGTCGATCATATTAAAAGAAATTCCTATTAGCAATCAGTTTTCACATGAAGATATATGGATTTTGGGCAAAGAACAAATTTCGACCCGTTTAGGAGCGTCTTGTTTAACTAAAGCCACAATAATATTGAAAGCCTTTGTATTTCTCTTCAACAGCTAATAGTAATTTTTAAGACGAGACAGCTTTCTAAATATGGACCCAAATCTGTTACCTCAGTGAATAAAAAGTATATTTTAATGTTACTTTTAAATTAATGAATATTTAAATTTTAATACTTTTAACGGTGTGTATCTAGTGCTATTCTTAAAAGTTCATTTTTGAAGATTACCTTAACCTACATCGAGTACCCTAGTTATTAAACGTAAAGCAATTTTTTTTGTTTTCCAGCAAAAATTCAATTTAATTCAATTTTTGCTACCCTAGCACTCAAATAAATGGAAAATGGATCGGTTTTTAGGATTTTAGAAAGTCTTGCCCAATAATTTATGTTCTAGTTTAAGGTCACTAAGGTAAGTTTCTTCGCTTCATTGCTGAATCATTAATCTCTTGACTATAAATGAAGTCAATACTTCTGGGTATTGACTTCGTTTTCCCGAAGCTGGCTAAACTATTTGGCAATCAGACGAGACAACTACATAATGTACTGGAAATGGGATTCGAGGATCAGAATTAGATCATGAACTTTGATAATATTCGGAAACAGTTTACTGAAGGATATTCATTAAGTTACAAATGCGCTGATTGATGAAATAGAAATCGAATATGGTAGAGTTTGGGCTAGACTGTTTTCACCTAATTCTCCTCTTTTTATGACCCATGGACTGTCTCCATGTTCGGATGCTCATTCCTGATTAAGGATTGTAAAATAAACTGCATAAATCTTCGTATATTGTCAAATATTTAGATGCATATTACAGGAAATTTGTGGGGCGATTTGGAAATTGTCTTAAATATCACGATTAAGATAACTTAAAAGCAAACTCTGCTTTTTGTTACTAAACCATAAACTATACATCATGAGAACAGTCGGCATATGACGATCTATTTCAAAATTTGATACATTTGTATGAATTCTACTCAGAGGTTGTGTTTTCCATGAATGACTATCATAATTAGCATAATATCCTCTAACGGCCATTTTATTTCCACGATTTATGTTTTGTAACCAGACTAACCCCAGGTGGTTAAAAACTCAGATCAATTTAATCATCATTATGTTATTTATGTTTCACTATTTAGGAGTTGGTCCTTCTATTTTGGTTCTTCATTGAATACATTGTGCGCCTATGGAGTGCGGGATGTCGTCCACGATATCAGACATGGAAAGGACGTCTTCGTTTTGCAAGGCGACCTTTCTGTATTGTTGGTAAGGAACTTTGTTGCGCATAAATGTATACTCGCATTTGGTGATGAGTACGATTTTCGTGTCAGATGGCTTCTTATTTTCATTCCCATTTCAAACAATTTTGTAGATATAATGAACTGCATAAAACATCAATGTTTTTTCATCGGAGTAAATTTTAGTCTTAAACAACAAACCTATGTTCACGAATATGTGGTAAGTGATTTTTCCGGCTATCTTTTAATTTGCTCAATATTTTCTTTCACTAATGGATAAACTTAAACAAATTTTCAGACATATGTAAGAAAATCGACAAGGCATGTAAATCGATCCGCTCTAGAACAATATAATTTAGGTTCAAACTAAGGATTCGCTTACAAGTTTTATAAGACAACGATTTCAGCTAAAAACTTTATAATAATCTTGAAATATTTATGGTGATAGAATTCTTATGGACCTTCACATCTCTCTGTCAGAAGCTTGTTTTTTATGATCTAATTGTCGGAATAGAATTATAATGAAAGCGCACTGAAATTATTACGAATATAGTATTCCGAAGTTTTTCTAAAACATTAAATATCCTTAATGAATTATCATTCTTCTAATTACGATTAAGTTTGGGCCCTCACTGCAAAAGAATGATGTTGAATTGTAGCTTAATGAAGAGGTAAAAATTTGCAATAAAATAACAAATTTCACAAATGAAGAATTTGGCGTCATTGCAGTGACATTTAATACGTTTAGGATAATTCAAATTCAGACTACATTTTTGTTAACTTAAAAATTCTATTACTCTTTATAAAGGTTGTTTTAAAATGTGCGAAAGTATGATGACGAGATAAAGCAATTGTTTTTCATTCCATGTTTAGATTGTAGATATTAGGTAGAACTACTTTCTCTTGAATTCAATTAACAATTTTATTAATGCGAACAATTAGCTCAAGAAAATTTCATATAATAATGCTAATTAAAATAAAATCCAAATGTTTTGCATACCTCAAAGTAAGTAGAATAAAGTTTCACTAATTCTGTGTTTTAATAAATTTTTCTGCTGTATTATGCCCAAATTTATCGCGATTGAATTTGATCTTTCAGTTGAAGTATTTCGAAGGTATTAATGCCCTCTGGAATAGAAATTTTTGAATAAAAGCCCTCAAATTTTCATGTTCTTCAAATTTTAGTCACTAAAAGCTTAGAAAACACGGAGAAATGAATTAAGATAGATTCTTTCACATAAATCTTTCTTCGATGATTCTCGATTCCGTTTCATCAGGCAAATGAACTTGGTCTTGAGAGAACAAATTTCATCATAATTAAATAAGAGATTATGTTCCACCTATAATGTGGTTAATCTTATTTGAGATCTTTTTGTTTCAGAAGTTTTTAAATCAAAAATTATTTCACAATAAAGTGCTCAGATAGATATTTTCCTTTGGTTTTGGAAAACGGAAGAGGGTCTAAGGGCCAATAAAATTTCAATAGAATCGAATTTAAGAAATTCATAAATTAGTAATGGCAAAAACACCTTCGTTTTGTAAGACATTTTTGCCTATAATAAAGATGAAATCATTTAAAGCGGCATTTAAAGTGAATTTACTGATAAATTTGTCATCTTAGCTATCCTTTGAGCGGAGAGACGAAATCTTGAGTAATAGGTATTAAAAATTAATCACTTAATCTCTCTTTATTGATTAACATTTAAGCGCATTCGGTTCTTCACATTACAAATTCAATACCTCCAATTTGTCCGGCGTATAGGCTGAGAGGCTGTAGTTTACCTGTTCTTGAGAGTTCAGGCAAGCTCATGCTCATTTGAGTACACATTAGAAAAATAAATTATTTTTTTATGGACAACTCTCATTTTCAATATTACAATGTGGGATGGTAAGTAAGGGCAGATGCTTCTCATTTGATACGCCCATTAACAAGATGCAGCAACTTCTTTGGAAAAATCAAGAAGCAGTGTTCTCTACCAAAACAATTGTTCTCCGCACCATATTAAAGTAATTTTTTTGCTAGAGTCTTTAGGCAACAGTATTACACTAGTATTTGATGGCTGGAATTGAAAGAGGCCACATATTCACTGAAGATACTTTTAGAAGTAGAAGAGGGAATGGTTAATAAAGGGTGTATCTCGTAAATATATTTTCACAGCAGTTACAATTAATTGAGTTGAGTTGAGAATTTTGATAAAGCGAACTGACAGATCAGGTTTATTGGAGTCATGACTGGATGAGGAACCGACACTTTGAATCCTGGTCTCAACCTGTTGATCATTAATCAAATGTAATATTCACGGTTTTTAATTAAAACTGGTTAATGTCATTTATTGGCCATAATGCAATTAATTAAGGAAGAGATTTTTAGGTATAACGGTTCATGTCATATGTTAGCTTTGGTAAAACATTTCAACCACTATTATAATGTTTCGCAAAACTAATTTCACCACAAATAAATGCTCTCCTTCCAAGAGAGGCGAATAGAAGTGACTTAAGAAGTGTGGCACATCAAAATCACGAACAATCGTATGATATCAAATTTCAGCTTGAATGAATTTCATGCTTACTCTCCCACTTTTTGTTGAATGTGTCACACTCCAGTGCTACTTCCACCACTTCCACAAATTTATGCTTATTAAAATATTCACTAGATTGCTTTCACTTTGTTCAAGGTTCGTCTCACCGTAAATTCGTTGTGGTACATTCACGAAGTGGGAATGCCTATTTCGAATATATGTTTACCAATTATATCATAAGTTTAAAATGTTAAAAGGTGAAACAAAGTAAAATAGACCAATTTTGGCGTGAAATTCAAAATGATTAATAAAGTGGCTATGCTCCAATCTATAGTTTCTTGTTGAACACAAATCCATTATTTATTCATTTTAACGCAAATCTATGGGTTGAATTATTCCTACAGTTTCAATGCTCAATAGCGCACGTCCGATATGCGGAAAGCTTAGGCTTTATCCGAATGGGTGAAGGGTAACGAAAGTCTGAAATAATAAGAGGCTTCCTGATTGCACGAAATCTAATTTGTATACTCTTAATGGATGGTTTTTTGCATTTTGTTTAGATATTATTCTAATCGTTGCCAGTGTGATAATACTAGCAGGTGACAATTCAAGCAATATGTATGCTGCGAGTGCACTACGTGCACTCCGGTTCTTTCAGATCCTCCGAATGATTCGAGTCGATCGAAGAGCAGGTTCTTTCAAGCTTCTAGCGTCTGTTGTCTGGGCCCATCGTCAGGTAAGCTTTCATATTCTTACAAAGCTGCTAATTACAATTAAGACCTGTGTAAAACATTAATTTCAACTCATACCACCTTACAATGCTATGACTATGAAGATGAAATTAATATCATTACCCAATATATGAAATCACTAGGCATGCACCTTACTCCATTTAAAATGCAACAGAAATGGGAAAAAAGTAAAACCAGGAGTTGTTTGCAGTAGCTTACAAGGCAATATAGAAATAAAGCAAACGGATCAATGAAAATGTTTAAATTTTACCTTCAACCACAAATATCAACGCATTATTGAAAGCTGAACAAACTCTGATTCAAATAATAGAAATAATGAAATATTTAAAGCAAATATGGAACAAATGTCAACAAGCGTTGCAGAAGCTAATATTTACCTAATTGGTCTGTTTTACTGAAATTAAACAAAGTAAACTTTTGAGTCAAAAGTGAAACGCCTGTACTTGTAAAGAGCAGTATGGTATAAACGAAATGTGCATTGTATCCGAATGTAAATTTTGCGAAAACGACGTTTGAAATTGGCGCCCAATGGATATGCATTCTGAATGGTCTAGAAGCATGTCAAATTACAGTTGATACCAGTGTATAACAAGCATATATTGAACAAAATAGGCTTAGTTATTACAAGCATTTATCATACTGCTTACCCTAAGCCAGAATGTGAAGGAATACATCTGATTTGAAGCAAACAACTTTTTCTAATATAAGATAGATTTCCTTCGGAAGCATAGACATCATTTTAGATCCTTTTTGATATCACGACTTAACACCATGACGAGAGACTCAAATTCGACCACCATCATCCTCCCTAATTGGCCAAGCTTTTAGCCTAACAGGTTATTACTTGCAAGCCGATGAGCCCATGTCCTCTAACTTCCCAGACAGACGCTTTAATAACCGGGTCTTGAACACACATGCACAAGAGCATTGTCAGCCATCTTTAGCTAATGGAAGCTTACCACAAGTGGAATATTCTAAAACATGGTGAATGTTTTTGCATAATCCTTTGCAAGCGTAGATGGAAAAGCGACCTAAAAATGCAGTGTTAGTTTATTGATTTCTTCTCCGTAATATGCACATATGTGTACGCCAGTTCAGAATTTCGGATACTAAACTCACTAAGTGGTTAGAATATTGAACAATACCAACTAGTATCGACCACTGAGAGGAGTTTCCGAAATACCTTCTTAATACCAAATTCAAATGATGAAACTTAGACTTATTAATGGGCATAATTTTTATTTTTGATTGTATATATTTGATTTTTAAAATTTTATTTGCAAAACAGTTAACCCATACTCAAATGTTTCATAGAAATCTTATTATGCACATGTTAATTAGTTTAAATTATTTTGGGTGGGCTGTATTATGTGAACGAAAATGGTATGTATGATATATATTTGAATTTAATTTAATTTAATACTAATGACACATAATTATTTCCATGTTAAGAAGCCTCATTAAGTGGAAAAGTGGCATAGGCTGCGAAGAGTACAAATGTTATAAGTTCGAAAATAAGATAAAAACTGTGAGAATTTATGCCCTCAATTGATAATAAATTTAAGATCCTACTCAATAAAGAGATGCATGTTTTAATTATATTTCTACATAATGTAACTTTCGTTTTGTTTTTTTGTCCTTTTATAGGAATTGTTTACAACAATGTATATCGGATTTTTGACGCTTATTTTTGGATCTTTTCTCATTTTCTTGGTGGAAAAGAAGGAAAACAGGAAAATTCAAAGCTTTGCGGACGCTCTTTGGTGGGGAATTGTAAGTACACATTTTGTAAAAGCCCTTAAAATGTGCGCCTTAATTGCATACTGCACTTTATGTTCTTAATTAACTTTGTCCAAATATATAATTGATAACTATGGTAAAAGCAATCCTAATCAGTCTCATCCAATAGGATATTTGAAAAATTGTCTGAAATTTTATTCAATCTCATGTCAAAAGCAAAAATAAAAGTTGTTTTAGTCAATTTGCTATCTATCTTGCAAAAAATGGTAGGAAGTACTTTTATTAATTAGCAATTAAATTATTACATCAGTATTGTGAAATTTTATAATTTATCCTTTGGTTAAAAGTAGCTAACCTTTTCCCTTACTTTAGCATATTTCTGGAAAAATGTGCGACTGAAGTTTTCAATTTTAATCGAGGCACTTATTAGACGTGCAAGAAAAAGGAATTAAGCAAACAAGTTTGCGAAATTTTTCCGTAAATCTTTATCTTAGAGGTTTTCAATTTATTTGCTAATTAAAGTAACTTTTCAAGGTTTCACTTTGTGTATCTTTAAATGAGTCGTTCAATCCCACATAGTCAATCGAAATTGTTAAATATTATTTTAAGTTTCTCTTTCGGTAATAATCAGAGAAAGATTACTATTATATCTTCCTACATTTACACTAATGAAGCATGGAAGGTGGAAAAGCCGTTAGTTTAATCTAAATCTTTATTTATTTCAAAAAACAGGCATTTTGAAAAATATCATTAGCCCTTTAGCTGACTTCTGGCTTCACAGAGGGAAAAATTTTAGAGAAGGAACAGAAGACTGATTCACAGATGTAAGAGAGACAGACAGACATAAGGGTAGAGAAAAGGTAAGATGAGTACTATGATAGTGGTCGAATATGACATACAGTGTAGTTTAAGGCCAGAAGTCAGTTGCCGAATAACAGACTTTTTGTCGTATGAATATACGCTGCCCAGGGTTCACCATGTGTAGGTAAGTCTATCGTGCACCCCTAATTTAATCTAAATAAAGAATTAATTTATTAGGATGACCACATTAAGATTGTTCTTAGGTTTTGGTGCATTTCTGGTCAACATATATGTACCCGAAAATTAAATTATTTAATGCATATAACTTTATTTTTAAATAGGTTTTCCGCGGAAAAAAAATTATTATCGGCTTACCATGGAAAAGTGTATTATTTATGAGTGAGCTGAACTCTGAATTGAAATTAAGTAATTATATTAGAAAAAATGGCAAACAAAAGCGATCTCGTATTATTTTTTTGGTTACTTAGATTAGGAGTAATGATTAAATAAAAAAAATAATGTAACTAACTTATCAAGTTGCTTGAGGAAACTTTTAACACCCATCTGGGGTTATTGGTGACATTGCTGAGAGTTCTTCGTTTGAAAATCGACTTCTTCCCTTTTGACTAGTTATAATTAAACTGTTCTTTTAGATACTCTACTCATTAACCCTAAAAAGTACTCAGAGAACCTTCTTTTTTGCTATTTAAGATAAGCTAATGACGCCAAAAAACCTAAAAATGCCTTTACCGAAGGTTTTCACAATTTCTTGACTGATTTCTCTTTTTAATGCCAAAGAGATCCTTTCCTATTTTTGTTTTATTATATGCATGACATTTATAGGTTATTGACTGACCTTAATCTAGATATGCTATTTGCAAATGCTTTGTGGTAAACAAATAGCGAAAACTAGATTCTATGCATTCGCTCTTAGGGGTTCAAAAACAGGATTAACTTATAATTTTATTTTAGTAGCAACACGAACCAATTTTATTCATCTCGTGTTATCATGTTGTTCCTTCCAAATTATTATACCCAAATAAGTAAGACGAGAAGTTCAGTCATAAATGGTTAAAATTTAATCGTTCTCAACACCAGTGAGGTTATTTCGTTGTTCTCTATATATAATCACTAACCATGACACTTTTGTTTAATCTAAAATCTTAATGGACAGTATAGAACAATCGGCAGCCTTCAATGTTGCTATATCCTTTAATTAAAATCTGGATATAATGAGTATAGTTATAATTAAAAATTTTTATTATTTATAAAAGTGTAATATAAGTTGCCGCATTGTTAACAAATACTGATTTTTGATCTTCAAATGATTTTCCTTAACAAAGACCAGATTGTTCCCTCTGAAGGCAAATAGTTGATTTTCGAACGATGAAAGAAAGCATTCAATTTGCTCTTCTATTTTAGATCACCCTCTGTACAGTAGGTTATGGAGATACGGTGCCGAAAACGTGGATAGGAAAAATTATAGCAGCATTCTGTGCCATTGCTGGGATCTCCTTCTTTGCATTGCCTGCAGTAAGTCGTTTTGACCTCGCCCCACAAAATTAAACAGTTTAATTGTTAACGGCTTTGAAAATGGCAGCAATTTAATGTCTAAAAGATAATTATTATTTCAAATGACAGGCTTTATGATATTTATCATTAGCCCTTATGTCTAGAAGATTATTACAGTTTTATAGAATCTCCAAATCCCATAATTTACTTCAGTGAAGCAATGCTAAATTGAATTTAGTGATTTTGTCACACCGCCATCACATTTAAATAGTCGCATTTGATATAGAGAAAGCCAAGCGCAGGTTAATTGTATCTCAACAATGTTGAGACATAACCATATTTTGGAATCCATAGTTTTGTACCGTAGAGAATTCATAATTTGTAATATGATGTATTTTCTAAATAGGTTTGATATCATTACTGTGGTCATCTGACTTAATGGCAATTTGTTTAACCCAATCAATTAATTGCCTGGAGTGTCAATTTGGTGCTTATTAAACTGAAAACATAGGCGTTGACAACCGTTGCTGCATTGAAACAAATTTTATATGAATTTTCATTACCAAATAATCAATTCACGATAATATACGTCGGCTGTTGGCCTTGATACGATATAAATAAATAAATTCATATCTTCATCTTTTAAATCTGAAATGTTCGGTTGCGCGAAGTTTAATCATGTCAGGAATGCGCACTGCTCTTCTTTAAACATTAATTTCACTTGCTACCAGCTAGACAGAGTTAATTTTTTTTGTTTCATTGAATGCATCATATTTAGAAGAGAAAATTAGAATTAATTAACAATGAAATAACGCTTCTTTGTCTGCACAAAAACAAATTAGTGGCTTTGCTCTAAAATTAGAAAATTCAAAAATATTTTGAATGAGAATTATATTTGTGTAAATTTAGTTTCTCAAAATTATCGCTAACATATTCTTATAATTGTTTAACTAATTTTCCTCTGGTAGATTTGGCGAATGTTTAACTATGCGTTGATTTTATGTAACCTGATTGGAGCTTATTATATCAATGAAAGTAATAGTAAGCCGGTTGTTTAAGAAAAATGCACCTTGGCGGTGAATTTTGTGGGGATTCTAACGTCTTAAATTGCACCACTATCCCAATCATAAATCATGATATTGGAGTTCAATTATCAGGTAATTTTAAAAATGATATTTCGGTAGCTAACATTTAAAAAAGATATATTCGCCCCTCGAATTAATTAAACTTGAGTCAATGCGGATAGGTCAATGTTTGAAATCACGTGAAACTACCGAAATGCCCCTTCACTTTATCACCAAATTACTGAAGTAATTATATAATTTTACTGCCTGGAACTATTGTCTGTTCACAGCCATTTGAGAATGCAAAATTGGTAGTGAATCAGTTTTGTAAAAAAGTCTATCACATCACTTGAAAAAAATGTCACTCATCCACAATTAAAATAAGCGTAGTCATGGGTTCTAGAAAAGAACTTTTGGCACTTTGATGTATTGCATAGATATTTGCGTCTCTTTAACCTGCCAAACATTCTCAATCAGATTGTCTAATTTTGCTGCTTCCTCTGCCTATATATTCATTTAGAAGAAAAGAGAGCAACTAGTTAAGTTGTAACAATGAAATAATCTATATCTAATTTTTATGGGGATAATTGCCAATTGTCTCATTTCTGTGATAACCGAGGTTTTAATTACTTTAATTGTCGTCACATGCACATGTGGTAGAATATGGCCCAAATGACATTTTTATTAAGATGTTTGTCTAGCGATTGATTTGGGATCAGTAAAAAGTGGTGGTGGAATGCATGTTCTCATGCAGATAACGCTTTGCCATAACGTAGTGTACCTCAATGAGGGTAAATGAAACAATCGTATATTATTTCAATGAATCATCGCAATTACATTAGCGGTCAAGGTAAAGGTGTTTGTCAGGAGACATGGTATATGTAAAATAGTCTAGTGAAAAAAATATATTTATCATTACTTATTCGTTGTAATTTATAATGACTTATTTTAAAAGTCAATACTCAACATGCTTTGCTCTTATAAACTAGAAATTACGCAATTCTAAGTTACTTTGAAGATTGTCCATTTTGCAAAATTAACCTGAATAAATCGTTTGACTCAAATCTTTGCTTATATTAACGCGATCGCTTCAACATTGGTCCATTTAATTTAATCTAAAGCGCATTGAATTTGCCAGCCATCTTAATATGTCAGGAAAGTCAGATACTTCGCATACATTTTGCCATAAATTGGCAAAATAACTGCGCATATGTGTATTTTTTGTATTGAAGGGAATTCTTGGAAGCGGATTTGCTTTGAAGGTGCAGCAACAGCAACGGCAAAAGCACCTAATTCGACGCCGCGTGCCTGCAGCTACCCTCATTCAATGCATGTGGAGATGCTATGCAGCCGATAAGAAGTCCACATCTGTTGCCACCTGGAATATTTATCGACCACAAACTTATCTCGAGCCAATGTTAGTTTGTAAATATCTCTTTTGCATTTATGAATACTTAGTGCAATTGAGCTTTCATGTTGTTGATTAGGCTCATTATTAATATAGATCGGAAGGCCAAATTTAAAGATTTAGTCAGCAAATGCTGATGGATTATTAACAATAAAAAATTATTTAGTGTTAGATATTTTTGGCAGATAAAATTTCAATCAAAATATTTATGGTAAACCGAGTAACGTCGTGTGTGCAGATGGATTGCAGTTAGAGAAGCCTGGAAAACAAAACTGGAAATAAGAAAAAAAACATATAAATAGAGAAAATATTTTTGTATCTTCTTATCTCGTAATTCAAATTAAAAAGCAGTGCATTTATGGAATTGCCCATAAAGTTTTGAGAGATTTACTGACACAGCATGACGATGCATGTTTGAACTATCAATCTCTACAAACACAGCCGGTTGAAATTTAGTGTCTAAATCCTCATCTTCAGACATCGATAAGCATGAAAACGTTGCCACCAAGTTCGATTTAGTCTGTACTTTGAACTGATATAAAAAAAACAGGAGGAAGCTTGTGTTTTTTTCAACTCAAGTATTTTATTCTTAAGAATTTTGTGCGTTTAAAAATCCAATTATCCTTATAAAGTTCTAAAGGGTTATCAGAAAAGCATTTGTCTGCTCGCATGCTGCGAATAAATTAAAAAAAGATAGATTAAACCGTAATGTAATCAACTTAAAAGTCGTTAGCGCATAAAAACACTTTATTAGTGAAACCAGAAATTCGTAATAAAAGAAGCTCTGTTTTTATGCTCGTAGTTAATTTTCGAAATAGCAATTCACGGTGGATTATTTTAAAATGCGAATGACGCCATTTATTGATCTTACTTATGCTTATTTTATCTCGCTAGAATGTCAATGTCAAATAATAACAACTGACGTACGTCCAAAACCACTTACTCTTCCGCTTGGTTAAGATATTTGGTCGGTTACAAAGTCAAGGATGCTAAGATTACCTTGACAGCATACTTAATGCAATTATTTGGCTGTCATTCGGAACAGTTGCCTGTAACAAATGCCTGAATTTATTAAATATTTCTATTTTATGCACATGAGGTTACTTTTACATGTGATTTCAAAGTTTTTGATAGTTTTTTAAGAAGCCTCTTGCTTAAACCAACAGAATAGCAACGGATTTGCTCATCAAAATAGGCCTGGTTCTAGTAGTTTTTCTGCAACCACATGGGAAATTATAAATTACATACGATAAGATGACTATTTTCTTAGTTATTTATCCCCTTTCTATTTTTAGCTAAGTTTGTTTGAAGTAAATAACTTAAGTAGCAAAGTGCTAATGGGAACTGCACAGATGTCGACATATTTCAAACTCTCAGATATAAATATATTTCAGGCTTTGAATTTTAAATTATTTCAACTTATCGACTAGTTCAATGAAGTCTATGTGGTCTTTTGTGCAATTTGTACTTCAAATTGCCATCAAAATGACTTAGTTTTTTTATTATATTAAAGCTCACTGGGAATTGCCAGTAATTATCATTTTGTTTCACTTGCGGCTTAGTCCGGTGAAATTTAGTTTTGCCATTATAACTAAATGATTTAAACCCAAACCTATTTAGAAAAGTTGTTAGTTAACAAAAATTATTTATTCAATTAGAATTTAAAATTTAATTCATCGGCTCCTAATCCTATGTACTGTAATTTTTTTGCTAATTATACTTAATTAGGGTCAAACTTACAGATTTCAAAGCTCTATTTAAAGAATCTCCTTAAAGATGAGGACACATTTAGTTTTGGCCATGGTTCAGAAATGCTCAATATTTCTATTTGATTTTTTCCAAAATATATGCAGGAATATTCCTTTATATAATGTTATTAATAAATCCGTTTAGTTGCTTCTAAATTGACATTATTTTTATGCACCAAATTGATAATCAGCAAGTGAAAATATGCATCTTCATCTTGATTTCCGTCGGTAAAAAGAAACTACTTTTGACGTCTGTAGGAATACTAATAAATTACCCTTTATTTGATTAACGAAAAATTAGTTTAAATTTATTCATATATTTGCAATAATAATCCATATTTTAAAATCGTTGTAATGAAAAGTCCCAGTCAATGGTAAAGTTGCCTTTGAATAAAACCATACAAATAAAAAGCGCTTGTCTTATTTTTGGAAGTATGTGTTTTCGCCGATTTTAAAATTTCCGTTTTGTCACAATCTTATTTACCGATGACAATGAACTTAATTATTCCTGTATCAAGGTAGTCTCCAGAGTGTGGGTTTGGATGCGATTGAAAATAAAAAATTTTTTTACCTTTCTATTTGCGCTTGATTTTATTTTTCGTTATTTAATTCCTCAGACTCAAGTTCATGGTAGTTTGATGTTCGGGTGTTGAAATAAAATACCCGCTTTCAGCAACTTTGACTAATTTGGATATTGCTTAAACTACAGTTAGGGTTGTTGATTATGAGAAGACAACGTTTGCATGAATTTGGCTAAGTTTAAAACTTAGGTTGGTAACAAACCTTCATTCGCAATTCCAGAGTGTTAATTGGTTGAAAAATGTACGCACTGATATTTTCTAAGGCAACTATAATAGTTTACCGAATGATAACATTTGTTATTTATATAGTTTTTTATTATTCTTATCGGTTTCATTTTTGAAGGAAAAATTATTCATGAATTTTAGCTAAAGAAATCGAATGATCGGACTGTTCACTTGGATGGGGAAAATACTTCCATAGGGAAAACTCTGTGTTTATGTCAATACACGTGGTTGTTAAAATGTAATTTGGAACCCTATGTTGCATTCAGGTAAATGGGAAAGCTCAATGTCAATTGCATTTCAAATCTATCAAATTAACGTCTTCGTGAATATTTCCGACAGTCTCAATTTTTAATAATTTGCTCAAGTCATTTCCTAAGAAAAATGCAGGAAAGAACACCACCTTTCGCCATTTGCCTGATTAAGTTTCAGCAACTGCCATTTCATTTATAGTTAAACAAATAGATTAGGTCAAATAAATAATATAAATAATAAATAATTTATAAAAATATTGTCATTTAACGTAACAGTTCTATAATAATAATTCAATGCTGAAATATTCACTTTGGAATTAATCCCATTTCATTAATACTGAAAAATATATTAATATAGTATTTTCATATTTCAATGCAGACAACGTTATCAAATTCTCCCTTTGTCTTTGAAATTTTGATTAAACATTTTCTAAACAAACGCCCGAATCACGACATTCCATTTGTATTCAAATGGAGAATATATTCCATCTTTTCTCCAAGTAGGAATGACAGTTCATCTTCCGAGATTGGGATTTTAGTTATTTCCGAAGTTGTCGTTGTCAGTACTTCCTTCCTACCACTTTTATGATATATGAAGTGATTGGTTTCCAAAACTCTGGGACATCCGCACAGTTTATCACGAAAGAAGATTTTAATTCTTTTGTCGGTTCATGGCTACGTAATTCACAGTCCAAGTCTTCTATGCTTATTGTTCATGTTTGAAGAATAGGTGTTTGCATCACTCCCATACACATTTTGGCATCGCATTTAACTGCTTTAAGCTCGGATTTATAACAGAGAAAATATGGCACTTTGTGCGTGTCGCTTATTACTTCCATAAACAGCATTTTTCGACGATTTAGAATAAGATCGCGCTAATGCATGAGCGTACAGGCCCGAAAGCATAGCAACGTCAAACAAGTGTATCCGTGCATTTAAATATGCAATAAAATACGAACTGGTCTGTTGACTGCAAAGCTTGATAATAATTATTATTATGAGCGCATCGAAAGAGTGATTTTATGAACGGGCATGCCAAAGGCAAGATGATGATCTTCATAATGCAATCCCAAGTGATGTAATAACTTGAAAACTTGAGCATTGATGAAGTTGTGACGAGTATGATCGCTATTTATCAGGGCTAATTTTACACATTTCTCTATTTGAAAAACTAATAGAATGAATTACCGTTCCTACCTTACCCTCCAGACTGTTATATGTTTTGCTGTGGAATCAAAAATATTGGACTCTCTGATTTTGATTTCTTAGCTGTGAGTACTTATCTTGGCATGTGTAGAATTTTGACAGTCTCTGTAAAAGTCAATAGTCTTAATGCACCATTCATTTTCGCAATTCACACCAGACTATTTTGCCAATCCAATGCCATTAACTAATCAATGACTCCAGGCACTGCATCTTATGCCTTGACAGGCTGTTGTTATGGCTTTCTGGATAAGAATCAAAATCCTACCTTTCAAAATAGTGCTTTAACACAGTCCACTATTTATGCATATTTCGCAACTTTTTACAACTACTTCCTATTGTTAAAAATTAACACTTCGTATGATAAGTAATAGGATAAAATTTATAGATTAAAGTTCAAATTCACAAGATTTTTGACAGAATAGATCACTTGCAAAGGGTTGAGTTGAATTTCCGATATTATTAATTAATCCGATTTAGCTTTTTATTCATTGGTAATTTTAAAGGAAAACTTTAGAGATTATTCAAAATAAAATGTCAACCCCTTATCTTCTCCAATGCTCTATCAAATCTTGACAATTTCCTGCAATGCTTGTCGCAGGTTTTTGAGGTACTGCCAGAGGGGGGGGGGGTTAACATTATGTACCATAAGCTACTTTATACAGTTTGTGTAAGCAGACTTGTAGATTATATGTTTACGACTTGCTGCCAGTTAAGTTTGAGCCATCGCCTTAAAAATAATAAAATAATCGCAATTTATATTTACTAATGAACACAAATTAATTACATTTTAATTAAAGAGATTTTGCATCAGTTAAAATTGTGCGTGCATTTGGTGCAATTAGAAAAAGCTTTTTTTAATTTGCCTTCTGACCAATATGGGAATAGGTAAATTTTGCATAATGAAAATAATTACCATAATATTTGAATCACACGCTACTCCAAATCAGCTTGCAAGTACTTTAAGCCTTAATTTTAAATGACAGTACCTCTATTATACCGTGTTTTTTATTCTTAGATAACGCGAATTTAAGGTTGATTTAATCAACTATGCATTTTCATCACATACTAATACTCGTTGAATTTGATGAAAGCAAAACAATTCCATAGAAACTATAGTCTTTGGTCATTCTTATTGTGCTTTTATTCAGTTTTAGAAGCAACGCGGGTTCAATTTCGGAACGAAGTGGACTCGGTCGTTTTGGTCAACGTCTCTCATCAATTCGTAGAAGAGCAGAAAGGCTAAAGCTTGGTAACCCAGCCCCCGGAAGCGGTCTAAGGCCAGCACTCGCACAAGCCAACCTCTCCTTCATTTTGCCCTCACCGTTGTTCGGTGGGAAAGAGGAAAATAATGTAAAATCTTTTGACTGCGTTTCCACTTCACCGCTCAATCCCACGACGTTTCTTAGAAAAACCAAATCGGAATACAAAATCGATGAGAGTAGACGAAAATTTATCACTTCGGAAAATGCAACGCAGTGAGTCATTGTACCGATGCGTGTTTGTTTGCCAATTTCTCGTATTTTGAATTTGTGACTGGATTGTATCCAGTATCCTTCCTCTGTTTGGTTGGTCAAGTCTGTTCTATTTCAAGTTAATTTCACTCACGTTACAGACCTGATTTAAAAGTAAATAGTTCGTTATTTGTGCTAACAAAACATCGAATGTGGTTGTTCCATTAACAATGCTTATCAGAATTTTTTGGGGTTATAGTAACTTTAATGCAAGCGATTCCTATATAATTAACCTTTCTAACTAAGTACGAAGGTAAAAGCGCTCTATTTTAAATATTACTAATTAAAAATCCTCCGACTGCAAAGACACCTATCACGTTTCTAGTCATGCATTTCAGAGTTTGTTTCTAAATTTTTTATTGTTTATTTGATGATGATGTGATTCTTATTTTCTGAACGGAGTCGTAAATATCATCGTAATGAGAAATTGTTCCAGGCAAATCACGGAAATGCAAAGATTTCATAAAATGCCAACAGTATGTCAAATTCTTATTTTTTCTCTCAAAGCCAATTATTTTATTCAGGTTGGGAGGTTGTTGCTTACTTTAAACCATAGTTTTCTGTAAAATGCACTTTAAATAGAAGAATTGTTGAAAAGGCTTTCGTCTGAAAACTAATAAGGGAGGAATGCGTGAATTGAAAATGAAGATAAAATGTTTGTTAAATCTATCAAAATCACTTTTATTCAAATCTTTTATGTTGTATTGTGCCTCGCATTATTTTTCCATCAAATGAAGCCATATTAAATAAAGCATAAAAATTAAGTGATTTAGGTAATTGCCAAATAAATCCTGGTTATTTGAATAACGTAGCTTTAATTAGTGATCATAAGGTGCTATCTTAAATAACAAATATCTTAAATATCACAAATATCAACACACTTAAAATGCAAACATTCTCCTACCTAGGCATTATTTCAGAACACATAAATGCGATTTTTTTGCCAAATTCATATCGTTCTTATTAGAATTATAAATCAATACTGCTGAGTTTAAGCAAGAACTTCATTAAACATTTAATTAATGATTTCACATGCTCCTAATTAGATTAGCTCAAAGTTGATGGATAGACATTATTGGGAAATTTTTTCTCGTATACTAATCAGTTAAATCACCGGATGTACCAATCACTGTCTTTGGGAAGAAAGTTATATCCAAAGACACATTTGTTCCCATTTTTGTGAACATAAGGAATCGATATGACTAGTCCTTGGGGTTTTACGAGTTGCCCATTGCAAATGCATTAATCATCAAATTGAAAGAAAAAGGCAAAATGACTGGATCACTTTAATCCCTCTTTTACTGGAAATGAAAATTTTCATTCGAATTTGCATAGTTAATAGAGTTTTAAGTTCAAAAATTAATAAATTCACAAAATACATTTGATTTAATATTTTCAAGAAGAACATGTATTTATAACTTGGAAACGAAACATTTAAAACATCACATTTAATAAATCATACAACTTCAAGATTCACAATTTTTAACTGATCGTTTTGTATTTATTAATTTACCTGTCTATTGATGAATATTCTTTTCTTTAAACGATAGATAACGTGAATTTATTTATTTATTTCAAATGGCAGGCGTTTTGATGATTATCATTAGCCCTTTAGTTGACTTCAGGCTTCACAGAGGGAGAAGAACATCAAATCGAAAAAGTCGAGAGGGGGAAGGACAATAGAGTGTTTTAAAGATGTAAAAGAGACAGACACAAAGGTAGATGAAAGGAGAAGTGAGTAGTGTGAAAGTAGTCGAACATGACATACAGTGGGGTCATGATAGCTTGAACTCAGAAGTAAACTGCCAGTTTAAAGAATTTTTGCCGAATGAGTATACGTTGCCCAGGGTGCACCACGTGGAGGTAAGTCTATCGCACTCCTCTGATAGCGTGAAGTAACATCATAGTTAAATGCAAGAGGTATACATGCTGTCGTCAAGAATAAAATAATGATTATTGAGTTATATTTATAGTATATTTTGAATATTTAATTGAGCAATTCATAATAGCTTAAAAACCATACTTTATTTATTTATTTATTTATTTTGATTACCATTACATCCGATTGGTAGATTTTTGCCGTATTAAAATGAAATAATTTAAGGCTTCTGAACATATCAATTGCCCACTTGTAACATTGCATGCAAATATGTACCCCGAAGTCAGTAAAAGGGGTTGTTTATCCATCATGCTACGCAAAAGTTGCTGCACAGACCGTCAATTTCATAAACAGACACCTTTAGACGAGCATCTACTGCTTAAAAGGCCATATATCAAAGGCAGCGACAACTCACGAATAAATTGAATAATCAACTGGCGCATTTTTAATCTGAACTTGAAATTCACCAAACTTTGCTCCAATTAATTCCATTCTGCCTTCTCAAAAATATTTTCGCATGCGCATATATTGATTAAAATCAAATCCTCTTTACCGCATCTATTTGAATTTAGTCTAACAGAAAGTCAACCCGGACGCGGTTTTGCATTTTCTCTCCTTGCAAAATTCTCTGCAGAGTTATATCTAATTCAAATATGCATAAACCACCCAGCGTATTGCAGAGAGAAAAAATAATTAGCGGTGAAAAAAGGTTATTCAATTTCAAAATTATAATCTGGTTTGCTAACAATGGTCTTTGCGTACTTTAGTAAAAAAACATTCTTTGCATATATAAATAAGATAGATGATAGTAAGGAGATGTTATCTATTGAATTTTTTTAAGAAATAAGAAAGCAAATATGAAAGCGATTGAACTGATTGTCATTGGCTAATTGAAAATCATAGGTACAATTATATTGGAATCTAGGGGACAAATAAGGGAACTTGAATTTTGGAACCTAAATTCACTACTCAGAAAATATTTTATAATTCAAGTCGAAACATTAATTGAGTTAAGACTTCTTGATAAATCCATCATGATCCCGGTATCTCTTAATTCCTTCCTTTTTTGAGGTTTCTTTTAACGGCTTTCAGCTGTTTCTAGCTGTTAATAATTACAGACATCATGCAGCACTGTAAGCGTAAAGTACTGCTAATACAATTTTCCGTTTATTAATGAAACTTTACAGGCTTACTAACTCATAGAAAGAAAATGTTCTGAAAATTTCTAACGATTTTCATATTGCGTATTGAATTTTTAATATAATTTGTAAAGTCTTATTTGCAACTGCTTGGAGCAAACCTTTCAAAGCATGAACTAAATATTTTGAACTTTTAAAAATAGCAAAAGTCCTATTCTACCGATGCATTCGCGTTTCCAATGAGGCTATGAACAATAAACCCTGAAAACAATGGCTCTTATTGCATCTGAACTTTCTTAAATAGGTATTCTAACATTAAATGATTTTGAGCGTCAAATTGATAAAATTAGAGAGACAACTTAAATTAAATTTTAATAATGAAACGATGAAGCAATATTAAACATATTCCTATTTTCAACGTGCGGGCAACTGCGGAAAGTGAAAATTTATTTATTTATTTATTATTTCAAATGGCAGTCGTTTTGATAGTTATCGCAATCCCTTTAGCTAACTTTGGGCTCCACAGAGGGGAGGAGAATCAAAGTGAGAAAATTCGAGAGAAGAGGGGGGGGGTAGAATAGTGGTTCAAAAATATAAAAGAGACAGACACAAAGGTAGACAAAAGGTGAGATGAGTTATGTGGAAGTGGTGTAATATAGCATATGGTAGGGCCATGGTATTTTGAAATTAGAAGTTAACTTCCAGTTCATAGAACTTTTTCCCATATGAATGTACATTGTCCAGGGTGCACCATGTAGTGGTTAGTCTATTGCACATTGCTTGAAACTGAGAGTAAAAGTGCTGATACCAGTTTTCGAGAATCGTTTTAATTACTCTTAGTAACTCAAAAACAGCTGTTTCAATGGACTATAATTCCAAATACATAAAAAATATTAATTATTTTCAAAGCGAAAAGTTTAATTAAATTTTATACTTTCTCAGATGCTTTTATAGTTTTAATTGGTGGGAGAAATAATTTAAATCACTTGTATATTAAGGATGTTTTTTAGGCAAATCCATTTTATTATGTCAAATTCCAGAATATAAATTAAATAAACAAAAACAAGTTGAAATTCCATGATTGCCATATGATGTCTTGGTTTAAATCCATCAAAATTTGACAGAGATGGTTATACGAATATGGTAAAATTTGAATAACAAATAATGTTGATTCATCAAGTCTGCCTTATATCCGTTTGAACGCGGAATGAAACGTTAGCTTTATTTCGGAGGTAAAATGATTACCAGGAACGGTTTTGCAAACAAACATAAAATTGATATTTTTACGGAAAACTAAACTATGACAAAAGAAGTATATATATATATATACATGGGCATTTGACGTCGTAGCAAAACAATAAGATGATTTTTACTTTTTTTGACATTTCTATCTAAAAGGTTTGAAGCTCAAAACCAAAATATTGGACAAAAATTTTCGAAAATGAACCCGACGTACTGACATGTTTTCTGAAAACATCTGAAATCTTTTTAAATAAAATTCTCCACTGTTCAGGATCGCAATGCTTTAATTTTATTTACGTTAAATTGACAATGGGCACTACGTCCATCTTAAAGCAATAGGATGCACACCATATTAAAAGCACATGAGTGAGATGTACAAAGACCAAAATGACAAATCTTTCAATCTCCACGTTTTGATTTCAGACCCAAAGAATCTATGGCTGCAACGGAAAACAGTGACAGCGTGTTGACACCAGATTCGAGTGACGGTCAGTTCATAACTTTTTTTTACTCTCTTGAACTTTATTTTCAATTTTCATTATTTTTCACAATCTTCCACGTCTTTTCTAATGTGCTCTATTTCAATCGATTTTATAGACAATCAGGTATAAAAATTGACAATCAGTCAAAAATAACATAAAGCATAACGGAGGCTATGATTGGTCCGTGACAAAGGTGTACTAACAATTTATAGATTATTTGTTTAAA